CTCCCTCCCGGGTGCCCGCAGGGGCGCGGCTTCTGGTTCTCCGCTGCCAACGCGGGGTGCTGTGCGGTGTGTGTCTCGCGGGGCACGGGCACCTGGTCCCCGGCAGCAGGAGCGGGTGGACGCAATTTCCTGGGGCCGTGGGTTCTCACCGTCGGTAGGCCCGCGGGAGCAGCCATGGAGTCGGGGCGCGCCGGCTGCACCCCGCGGCCGCCCATCCGCCCGCAGCCTGCGCGCCGCGTGCTGGCCGTGCTCTTCCTCGGGCTGCTGCTGGACCTGCTGGCCTTCTCGCTGCTGCTGCCGCTGCTGCCCGGGCTGCTGGAGAGTCACGGCCGCGCGCACGTGAGCCCGGGTGCTCCCCGGCGGTGGGGACGCCCCACCCCGCCGCCTCGGCCTCCCAGCCCCGCGCTCCTCTTTGCAGGACCCGCTGTACGGCTCGTGGCAGCGTGGCGTGGACTGGTTCGCCACGGCGATCAGGATGCCAGCGGAGAAGAGGTACAACAGCGTCCTGTTCGGAGGTACGACCCAGCCCGAGGCCAAGGCTGTCCCTGCTCGGGGGCCTGGTGCTGCTTGGGTCCCCGGGCTTCTTGTTCCTCACTCCTCGCCCCCAATGAGTCGCAGTCTTCTCCTTCTGGGGACTTCTGCACCCTCCTCCATCCTCCTCGCCCTCTCTGGGGGCCACCCCAGTGTGCGGGCCGTGGTCTGAAGCCACCCTGGCCTGGGGCGGCCCTTGACGGTGGCATCTGTCCCCTGATCAGGTCTCATTGGCTCGGGCTTCTCCCTCCTGCAGTTCCTCTGCGCGCCGCTAACAGGGGCCGCCTCGGACTGCGTGGGCAGGCGGCCCGTGATGCTGCTGTCCCTGGTGCGTCACGACTGCCCGTAGGGGGCGGGCCGGCCGGGCAGTGGGGCGCAGCCGTGGTTCCTCCTGCTCCTGTGGCTGAATCGGCTGCATGGAGGCAGCACTGGGAGCACAGGTGGCCCTTGCCCGTCCCCACAGGTGGGCCTGGCCACCTCCTATGCTGTGTGGGCTGCCTCCCGGAGCTTCGCGGCCTTCCTGGTCTCCAGGGTGATTGGGGGCATCAGCAAAGGGAACGTCAGCCTCTCCACAGCCATCGTTGCTGACCTGGGTTCGCCATCGGCCCACAGCCAGGGCATGGTGAGTGTGTACCAGGCCTGCCTGGGGACGCCCAGGCCCTCAGTGCCTACTCACGTGGTGTTCTTCCCAGGCAGTCATTGGCGTGGCCTTCTCCCTGGCCTTCACGCTGGGTCCCATGCTTGGGGCCTCCCTGCCTGTGGAGATGGCGCCCTGGCTCAGCCTGCTCTTCGCAGTGTCGGACCTGCTCTTCATCTTCTGCTTTCTTCCGGAGACCCTGCCCCGGGAGAAGCGGGTAGGGCTGGGGCAGGATTGACAGGCACGGGGTCCCCCATGTGTTGGCTGTGGGGAGGTGGGCTGCCTCCTGTTGTCTAGAAGCTTGGCCTCTGCTCCCCTGGGTCCTGGTCCCGGCCACACGCCCCAGCCTTCTGCCAGGCCTCCCCAACCCTCCTACAGGCACCCTCTGTCACCCTCGGCCTCCGCACAGCTACCAGCCTGCTCAGCCCCCTCGCGCTGCTCCAGTTCGAAGCTGTAGCCCGTGGCCAGGATCCCCCTAACCGAGACAGTAAGGAGCCCGCAGCCTCTTGCCGCCCGCAGCTCCCTCACCTGCCCATTGGGCCCCAGCCCACCTGCACCCGGATGCTTTGTAGGGCTCTGCAGCCTTCGCCGCCTGGGCCTGGTCTACTTCCTCTACCTCTTCTTGTTCTCGGGTCTGGAGTACATCTTGAGCTTCCTGGTACACCAGCGCTTCCAGTTCACCAGGTGGGTCCTCAGGGACACCTGGCCTTGCCCCTGGCCCATGCTAGGGAGCCCCTGCCAGGCACCTGTCCCCAGGCGTTGCGGTCAGTGGCCCATGGCCTCTACTCACTGTCTGCCTCACAGCCTACAGCAGGGCAAGATGTTCTTCTTCATCGGTCTCACCATGGCCACCGTCCAGGGTGCCTACGCCCGGCGGATCCGCCCTGGCAAAGAAGTCACAGCCGTGACATGGGTAGGGCTCCCTCTGCGGCAGGCAGCAGGTAGTGCCCCAGGCAGGGCTGGGCACTGGCCGGGATCTAAAGCCACTGTGCCCCCACAGGCCATGCTGCTGCTGGTGCCAGCCTTCCTCCTCATCGGCTGGGGCTACTCGCTGCCCACACTGGGGCTGGGGCTGTTGCTCTACTCCTTTGGTGAGTGTTTTGTGGGTGGGAGGAACACCAGCACCTCTGGCCTGATGGCTTCTCCTGTGTTCCCACAGCCGCCGCAGTTGTCGTACCCTGCCTGTCCTCCATGGTAGCCAGCTACGGTGAGCACCTCCCTCCCAGAGACTACCTACCTGGCTGGCTGGCGGGGAGGTGAAAAGCACCCATGGCACCTGACGGGGTTTCCCCACAGGCTCACCGGGGCAGAAGGGCACAGTCATGGGCACGCTGCGGAGCCTGGGTTCCCTGGGCAGGGCAGTAGGGCCCATGGTGGCCGCCTCAGGTAAGGGCCTGGTGCAGCACTGAGGACATGTTGTCCTGTCCTCTACCCCGCCACCCCCAGCGTCCTTGCGGTCATGTAGACATGGGCTGGGCTCACCCTCTCTCCCCACAGTGTACTGGCTGGCTGGAGCCCAGGCTTGCTTCACCATGTGTTCGGGGCTTTTCCTGCTCCCTGTCCTCCTCCTGCAGAAACTGAGGCACCCAGCACCAGGGCTCAAGGCTGAGTAGCCGAAGTGCTGCGAGCCCAGTCTGGACCATCGGGGTGACTCCCCACTGCCCAAGTCCCCCATCCTCACCACTCTGCTCCACCCTGACCCACTCCTTGTGAGGCACTGGGAGGAAATCTGGGCAGCGGCCCTGGGTGCCTTGCCCTACTGGCCTTACCCTCCAGGCCCGAGTGGTTCAGTGACAAGGCCTTTGGGCCAGTGCCTCAGGCCCTGGGCCAAGCTTCCAAATGACAAATAAAGCAGCTATTTTGTACCAGTGCGCTCTCCCCAGCAGCTCTGCCCTGCCACCCACCCCACAGACACTTGGGCCAAGGCCTAGTACAGCACTGGGCTCCCCTGCAGCAAAGGGCAGCGCCAGCTGCAGCCCCAGGCAGGGGTCAGGCCCTGGGCGTGGGATGGGCCTCGGGCTTTGGCCCTCCCTGACCTCCTCTGCTGAGCCCAGGCCCAGGATGGACCCTCATCTCTGTCACTGACTGACTGGCATCTCCCAGATACCACTGCGAATTCCAGGGAGGAAGAACAGGTGTCTGTTTAGAACATCTAGGTGAGAAATAGGCACATAGGGGTTGTTTGCACTGGAGCATGAGACACATTCTGGAAACCCTATTTTTAGGAGACAAGGGTATTTTTTTTAAGAACAGAATATATTTATTGGGGGAAAGAAAGTTTCTGTCAGAGAGGGACAGAGGGGGACCCAAGCAGGTTGTCCCCAGAGACAAAGGTAGTTGAAAACTGTTAAGACTTAGGCAAAGAAACTGCTTAAAGAGTTTTATTTGTGAATAAAACATGTTACAATGCAGAAAGAACATCCAGGACCTGTCCTCCAAGTCTGGTCCGTATATGCAACTATATTTCATGTTGTAATACAAAGAATTAGACTACAAAAGTGAAAATTAAGGTCATTGCATATGTGGGATAGAGGAAAGGCAGGAGGAGTGAGAGGAGAGTCCAGGAGAGGCAGGGAGCTTCCTACCACCATAGCGGTGCCCTGAGAGGGCGCACAGCCTGCGGCCAGCTCAGTTCCACCTGGAGTCAGTGGGAGCCATGCTGAGACCTGAGCCTGCCTCTGGCACCAACTCTCCTGAGGGCTGTCCTCTGTGGAATGTAGCAGGAGCCCCCCAGGTTTCCCTACTTGCCAGACCAGCACAGGGAAGGCCCTCAAAACAGGTCATCACCACCCCCAGCCACACAGCTGTTTGCACTACTGGAAGGTCCCAGTTCCATCAAGGGGGAGGAGGTGCAGGCTCCACCGATGGTGCTGTGTGGGGTGGGACACCAGGACCAACTTCCACCTCGAGTTACCTTCTTCAAAACTAGAGTGCCCTCAGGCTGAGGTAAAGTAGGGACAGTCCCACTCCATTCCTAAACCCCCAAACCAGGTGACCAGTGCTCCACTGCAGTATGCCATGGGCTCTAGAGAAAGCTAACACAATGCAGCCTGTTCACAGTCACAGTCAAAAAGGCTAAATGGCAAACCTGCTGAAAGAAAATTCCAGAAAGGACTGTTCCCTCCTGCATCCCTCCCCTGTGACAGGAAGCCAGGGACTCTTGAATCTGGTTTTGGTCAGGGTCACCAGTGAGACCATGCACAGCGAGCTGGGTGCACGTGGGCCATCCTGAGACTGGGCCCAGCTCTGCAGGTAGCCACGGGACCAGGCCACGGTGGGCATGCGAGAGCATCCACAGGATGGGGCCATGTGCAAGATAAAGGGGTCACTGAGCCAGCAGAAGCTACGAGTCAGATTCCGTCACCTGAGACACCTGGGCTGGAGAGCCGAGCAGGGACAGGACGCCTAAGGGCACAAAGAGGAGTAAGGGTTGGGCTCAGGAGGTCGCACCTGTGACCAGAGGAGCAGAGGTCTCTGGGACCTGCCACCAACGCCATGATGGACCCCCCCCCACCCTTGGGAGAACACAGCTCACAGCACTGAGCAGAGGCTCCCAGGCTGAGGGACACTTGTAGCACGGCTCTGCAGGGGTTGGTCATGTGGGGTGGGGCTCTAGCTACATGGTGCTTGGATTTTTGCATTCCATTACACAAGAGGACAGAACAGGACACATAATGAGGACGCTGGTAGAGCCAGAGTCACTTCAGGCAGGACAGCACGTGGTTTGCACAGGGCCTTCAGGAATCACGCTTCTTGCTCTTCTTTAGGAAGGAGGGTGTGCGGAACTTCTTCTTCTTCTTGGACGGGGACTTGCCTGGGGACCCGTCGCTGCCAGGGTCCGCAGCAGACCCCTCCTCGGCAGCCGGGAGGGCTGCCTCTTCAGCCACTGGGGCCGAGGCTGGCTCTGGCTCTGGCTCTGGCTCTGCCGTGGCAGGGGCTGCTGTCTCCTCCTCCACTGGTGGGAAGCCCAATGCTTCTGAAGGCTCATCAGGGGACAGGTCGGGGAGTGTGGGCTTGAAGGTGGCAGCATCACTGTCGTCCACAGAGGGCAGCTCCTGCGGGAGGTCTGGCGGTGGGGGTGGAAGATGATGAGAGCTGGTGGCCTGGCACGGGTGCTGGCTCCAGAGCTGCCACTGTGCGGTTCTATGGCTCTCTGAGGCAAGCCACCCTGCCTAGGGTCTCCTCTACATGAGGGCTGCACAGAGCCATTACAAAGCACACACTCAACCGGGCACACGAGTGAGCACCCACACAGGAAACGCTTTGCTCAGGTATTAGTGGTTGTGACCTTCAGCCTACATCTGGCCCTGCAGCAGCTGGTGTCCCCAGGACAGCTGCAGAGCTGTTAAACAAGGGTGAGGAGAAGGAAGGGCCACGGGCCGAGAGCAGGCTGCACTCTGGGTTGTCTGCGCTGGCAGACTGACAAGGGACCCGTCTCCCCCAGCCTGGGGACACCAGTGTTGGAGAGAAGTTCTAGCCCATCCAGAGTTACTCGCGACTGGCACGTTAGGCAACACCAAATCATTTAATGCTTAAATTCAGCCAGACATCAGCACAGGAGCAGCCTGGCTCCAGGCGCACCAGCCCCAAGCGCTCACCGCTACAGTGGGGGGCAGCTGGAGGGGCCCTGAAGGCCCCTGCCGGTAACTCCATGCCGTGCTTGGAGGAGTGCTGTGCGCACGCTGCAGGCACTATCCTGCCCTGATCAAGCCCAGGAGAACTGAAGTCATTTGACCAAATGTTATTTTTCTTCTTGGCAACACTAGGGTTTAACCCAGGGCTTTGCCGTGAGCTGTGTTCCCAGAGCCTTCCCTTTTTTAAGGCAAGGTTTTGCTCATTCACTGAATTGCCCAGGCTGGGCCTGAGCTTAGAGGCCTCCGGGCTCAGCCTCCTGAGTGCTGGGATGACAGGTGTGCTTCATCTCTTAAAAAGCAAATGCTCCTCTCAGCCCACTTCAAGTTGCCAGTCTCGTTTAGGCATAGGTCCAAGCCATCTGACACATTAGTGCAGAACCTACTTAGCCGGAACCAGCCCACATCTACATCCAGCCCGATCTGGCAAAACCTTTGCATCACACATTTCCAAGCGATGCCTGAAGGCTGAGCCTAAGAGCCTCCTGCAGGCCAGCAGGCGCCGGGCACAGGTGCTCAGCTACTCCTGGGGAGGCCCCATATGGACAGGTACAAAAAAGAAGGCCTCTGTTTTTATTCTAAGTAAACAGAAAACAAAGCTGCAGAAGCAAAGCGGCAGAGAACGAGCAGAGCACGGGGCAGGGAAGGGGAGTGCGGGCCAGGCGTGGCAGTACTTACTAGGGTAACAGGTACTCTTTAGCACATCCATCTCCTGCTGCAAGGCGGCACGAGAGAGAAAAGCACAAGTAGAGAATCTATGCATTGTCACAGCCACTGGGTTCCACTACGGGCCGAGCCATTCTTGGGGAGCACAGAACAGGGAGACATGGGCGGACGAGACCAAGGGACAGACGTGCCGAACGCACACCAAGAGCGGCTGGGGCTCTCAGTGCACCACGGAGCAGCACGCCACATGTCTTGCAGCCACATGAAAGACGGTGTCGCCTCCAGATAGGACGGACAGGAAGTGTGCAAGCAACGGGCAAAACGGACACCAGACGCAAAGGCAGCGTCCGCTGGAAGGTCTGCCCTTCCTCGGGGTCACCCAAGCCCCACTCTGGGGCCTCACATTACTCAGGACTGAGAACAGTAACGAGACTGGGACTCGGCTAGGGCCTTCAGGGCCACATGAGGCGCTGGTTCGAATGCAAATGCACACTCTGTACTCACGTTACAGAACAGTTACCAGTGCGCTGCCAGCCATGCACCCTCCCTCCGAGGGGCTCCATGTGCCCAGAGCTCACCTTCCTCCAGCTTGACAGGGGTGCTGGGGGGCGTGTGGGGCACAGCCGGCTGGTCTGGAGGACTCTTGTCTTTCTGTTCTCTAGAGTTGTCCACAGTCTCTGCAGATGCATACAAAGGGGAAAGAATGTGTAGCACTCGAGACTAGGGACAGCCTGGACCTTGAATGTGCCTGGACACCAGGCATGGGAGGCTGGGTCCCAGCTGCGAGGCTGAGCTGAAGGAGGTCCCAGGGCTGCACCTTTCTTCTCTACGCCCCCTGCCCACCCTGTGCACAGGGTACAGCTCACCACAGGCCCAGAAGCACAGGCCGGAGTCAGAAACCAAGAACCAAAGAAACCTCTCCTCTCCCCTGTGCTCTCAGGGACACAGAGCTGCCAGACACCCCCAGGACAGTGCCTGGCCAGGGCACATCCAGAGCAGGCCTGGCTCCTGGTGCACCTCAGGCTTCCCATAGCGCCCTCTGCAGAGGTCGGGCCAGGACCAAGCTGGAGGCCGGAGTTCCTGAGCTCTCAGCTGACCCTCCTGCTCCTGGCACAAGGAAACTCCTGTCACTCCTCCTCGCCTTCCAGGGATCTGCCCTGGGGAAGCCTGTGCTTGCCATCCCCATGATTACCCCTCGGCCTGCCCCACTCTCCAGTTGGTTGCTAAATGGGGCAAGTTTTCCATCAACAATTTAAGCTTGGCAACTCTTATCCTTTTGTTTGAAATATGCTGAGATATGGACCAGAGTGGGAAAGGCAGGGAGAGACGCTCTGGGTCCAGAATATTCCAAACTGCTAGGTGTGGCAGGACAAGCCTACAATCCCAGCACTGGGGAGGCTGAGGCAGGATGATCCACAAAAGTTTCACACCAGCCTGGGCTACACACTGAGTTCAAGGCCAGCATGAATTAAGAGTGGGACTCTGGGACTCCGTCTCAAAAAAGAAAAAAAAAAAAATCCAAGTCCATTTCTCATACTGAAAAACAGTTATCATAATAACCCTAATTAAAAATAAAAAACCAACTCTTTTCAATGAAAATGTTTCTGTTATCAGCTCAGGACCTCTAGACCCTCGGCTCTTAGATCCAATTCTTGGACCAAAGGCCAGCCATACCTACACATCACCTCCCTTGGGACATAAATGGCTTTGAGGCCTCTAGCAAAACGAGGTGCTGGCCTCTGGCAGTGGGGAGAAAGATGCTTAGCACAGGGGAGGGCCCAGTCTGATCTCAGGATCACAAGAAAACAATACTCAGGCTGGCTTCCCACTAGTCCAAATGAATGGCTTCTCCTTGCCTGACCCCTTGCCCCACGGGACGGAAGTCAGTCAGAAGGACCAGCACCCAGCCCTGCTTGAGCAGTGAGCACAGAACTCTGGGCAGAAGCCCTCAACTCTTTTCTTTTTTTTTTTGAGACTCGATTTCACTATGTAGTTCACGCTGGCCTTGAACTCACAGTGATCCCCCTGCTTCAGCCTCCCAAGTGCTGGGATTACAGGCACGCACCACCACACCCAGCTCCTTGACTGTTTTCTTTCTTCCTTTTCTTTTTTGGCGGAACCCGGGACTGAACTCAGGCCCTAGCGTGTACTCTACTGAGCCACCTCCCCGGCCCTCCTTGACTATTTCCTGAGGACACCTGCACTGCTAGGAGGCCCTGCTGGAAGCTCCTGCAGTCCCGCCCCCACGTGAAGCCCTGCCAGCCAGTGCTCTTCTCAGGTGCAGAGAGTGCTGACGACCCCCACCTGCCCAGCCCCCATGACCAAGGTGAAATGTGGAATGACTCCTGGTCAGCTTCTAACAAGACACAAACTTTGGCCCTGCATGCAGCCGTTCTTGCACACACACACAGTCCCGCTCCGCCTGCTCTCCTGGGGCCGTGCCAGCCGGACGGTGCTCACCTTCACACTCCGCACCCCTCTGCTTCCGCTCCACCTCCCTGCGGTACTCCTCCAGCTCGCGGTCAGTGAGCGCATGGAAGGGGTTGGGGCCCGCAGTGCTCACGATGACATGCGGCTGATACTCCTTCTCAATGATGGCCTTGGAAGCCGTCACCAGCTCCCCCTGTAGATGACAAGAGTGGCGTGGTCTGCAGCAGCCTGGCCAGGAAGGGACTTGCCCTCTTCCCAGGCAGGCTGTAGGCAGGAGCAGGCCTTTAGGGAGCGACAGATGCCCCAAACTACGCCAGCTGGGGCCCAAGGGGTAAACGGAGCTACAGCCTTCAGTGGCTGAAGACATGGCAATAGCTCCGTATCACACAACACACACAACAGGAGAGGAAACCCTACCCTGCCCCATGTCTGAAAGCACAATGGTGCAGATGCACGGTACAGAGGGCCTCTCCCCTTCTGTCCCATCCCTATGACGTCAGACAATGCCGCAGTGAGCACTGCCTATGTGTCCTGGGCGACACCAGCTCCTGAACCTTTCCCCGGACATCCTGGAATAACACGCCCTGCACACTGAGATCTGCTTGAGGATTTAGAAAGCTGCCAGAATCTGCAGAACAACAGCAGTGAGCAAAGTAACCAACAAGCTCCTCAGCTAAGTCCACAAAAAGGGCACAGGGTGGAACTGAGCACCAGCAGGCAAGCACAGAGGCTGCGACAGCCCAAGCAGGCAACTCTGCCCACAGCTCAGCCCCCGGGGCTGGGGGAAGGAAGTGTCCTCACATGGTCTGCAGTCACAGCTGCGCCCACACCCAGGTCTTCACAAGTGCTTCCAGACAGGAAAGAAGACAGGACAGCCCCAGACCACAGAGCCACCTCCACACCCTCCTCTCCCAGCGTGGCCCACACTGCCACAGCCCCTCAGCTGCGCATCACCACACAGCACACAGCCCTGCACCTGGCCAGCAGCACAGCTGCTATGCGAAGGGAGGGTCTTCGGGACTCCTGGCCAAGGGTGCCTCCCAACTAGCCCGACCAGAGGACACCTGAATCACTGAGCAGCAGCCTACCACAGAAAGGACAGCACCTGTGGCTCTGCCAGGAGATGCCCAGCCCTGTTCAGGGGCCTGGCTTATGACCAGCAAGAGGACTCTGCCAGGTTCCCACCGGCCAAGGTCCCCTCACAAGATGGCATTCTGTAAATGCACCCATCCTGTTGTCACTGACAATAAAATGAGGTGACATGAGGCGTGCAGGGCCTCAACTCTTTTAAATTAAATGTACAAAATTAGTAAAGAAAAAAATATCAACAATCTCCTGTCACTGAGCCATCAGGGCCTTGTTCAGAGCTTGTTCTGCGTTGACTTGTTTGTCATAGTGCTGAACGCAGGCCTCGTGTGGGCTGGGCAGGTCCCCACCACCAGGCTACAGCTCAGCCCACTAACCATTTCAAGACAAGGCCTTACTTGCTACACTGCCCTGGCTGGCCTCAAACCTGCAATCTTCCCATGTTCCCAAGAGCTCAGGCTTGATGTCCCAGAGGACAAGCAGGACTTGCATGCTGGGACAGCTCAACAGCAGCGCCCAGGGCCTCCAATGGCAGACACTCCAACCAGACACCTTGGCAAGGCCAGCTGGGAGCAAATGCAGAGGAGAGGGCAGGGGGCCTGCAAAGCGAAGCAGGCTGGGGGTCAGGATGGAGAGGGGCCCATCCCTCCTCCGCAAAGGCTCCTTCCTCCTGGTACCCTGTGAGGAATTCAACCAACACGGATGCCTGAGAAGTATTTCTGTACCTGACTCAGGCAGGGTGGGTGGTAACTCAGCAAGACTTTGTCGAAAACAAGAAATAAAAGGCTGAGGATACAGCTCAGGGCAAAGGCCTGGGTTCAGTCCCTAATGGAAGAGGAGGAGGGGAAGGGGAGAGGAGCCACAAGGGAGGGGAGGGGAAGGAGGGGGGAAGGAGGGCAAGGGGAAGGGAGGGAGGGGCTTTTCTAAGGAAGAGATGCATAGCTGGGGCGCTACTCACAAGATCAGAAAGCCTGTGAGCTGGGCTCACTGCACCGCCCACTTCTCCCACACTGCATGATGGGCACAGTGGGACCCAGAGTTCTTCCCTGGGTGGCAGTATGCAGATGACTTCACAGGCTCTTCTCAGATCAGGCCATTCACAGACAGCAGGAGCCGGGGCAGCCAGGTTCTCAGGGTCTGCATTGAGCTGTTTATGAGCCCAGCAGCAGAGAGCGTTCACATGAGCTCCACAGGCCTCTGCCCCTTTCTATGGGAAGGTCACCCTGCACACTGCCACCATGGGCACTGATGGCCGAGGGGGCCGCTCCTCACAGCCCCCACTCACACAGGCTGGCGGGCAGAAGCAGGAACCTGCATGTCCACCGTATAATGAGTTAATGTAAAACTAAATGTAAAAAATTACTCTGTTCAGGGGCCAGGGAGATGGCTCAGTAGGATAAGTGCTTCCCTGGCAAGAGCAAGGGCCTGAGTTCAATCCCCGGTTCTGAAAAAAAAAAAAAAAATTACTCTGTTCAACTTTCTGTGACCCTGCTTCCTTGTAAGACCACAAGCAGGCTTGGTATACCACTGATAAATCATCAACAGACTGAGAGTTCCCAGAGTAGACCTACAAAATGAATCAAAGTAAAGACTGAACTGTTTCTAACTGTCCACAGTAACTAAGGTGCTGCTGCTAACCAACTGGAAGTGCTGCTGAGGTAGTCAGGACCATGTGCACGCAGACGAACGTTAAACGGGAACCAAACAGTGCGCCCCGAAAGAATGTGCACTGAGTAACGGTCCTGCTGTCCCTCAAGGTGCTGTTCTGTGTTAAATGACAAATCTGCTTGCCAAACAGGATGCAGTTTCCAGCTTTAAAACCACTGTGCTTCCAAGGCTCCTCGCCGTTTGTCCTGTCCTGAGTGAGTACGGTCAAGCAGTCCCGGGCCTGGTAATAAAGGCTCATCAATTCTAACACTGGATTCTGGTCTGGTTTCTATACTGAGAACCCAGAACACATCACATGGGGAGGGGTTAGGACAGTCCCTTCGTTGGCTCCAGCAGAAACCCTGGCTGCCAGACAGCAGCACCGTGCTCCCCAAGGAGCAAGACGGTCTGTACTTGGAGGCTCACCAAAAAGAGGAGAATAAATGACAAAAGCTTCGGCAGAGCACAGCCATGATATCAAAGCAACTCTCGCTGTAAAAATGAGATGTGCAACAATTTGGTCAATGTGGAACAGAGACCAAAGTGCAAATGTTAACTGAAGAAGCGGAGAAGTACAGAACCGAAGCTAGAGAAAGATTTACACATAAAGTAAAGGTGGGGCTCAGGGAAGCACCCCTGGCTGGGCCACTCTCCGGGTCTCATCCCCAGCACTGCAGATAAAACAATCATGTGCGACGCACCAGCGCGCCCTCACGTGGAGCCAGCGTGGCCTGTGCTCTGCCCAGTACAGGCCCAGAGAACACGCGCACAAATGGTGGGGACCCTGCATCTGCTCAGGAAACAGCCAGGGGACTGACACATGCCCACATCTCAACACCTCTGGCTTAGAGCAAAGCCCTCCAAAACGCATTCTGTGACACAAACAGCTGGCCAGAGACAAGATCCACCAAACGCCCTGTCACTGCAGTACTGAAGCGTGCTCTGCAGCACACAAATAGCACCTGGACTCACAACCACATACCACCATGCACCCGAGGTGACAGTGACCACAGCAGCTTACAGCTCAAGGCAACAATACCAAAGACACAATGACAGGGAAGAGCGTGTATCTTCCTGCCTTTTTGGAGAATCTGCTCCAAGAATGGTAGTGGGTAGCAAATTCTAAGGCCAGGGAGAAAAGGGACCCATTGAATTAAGACAAAAATATGCACAATAATGTTCTGAGCAGGAGATCCAGGCAGGAATGTAGAATCCCATCACAGACCTGCTTCTGCCTGGCCCCCCAGTGCAGTGTGGCCCTGCATCTCACAGAGGGCGTGGCAGAGACACAGAGCGGAGCAGTGCCCTCAGTGTCCTCTGGACACAGCACTCACCAACGACCCTACGCCATGCAGCCAGAGCACCCTGCCTGGACATGCTGGGCGTGCATGCACACAGAGAAGCTACGAGCTGGGCTTTGAAAGGTCCATGAGGCCCCCACCCCCGCCCGCAACATTCAAGAAAGTTAGCTGTAGGCTTTTTTTTTTTTTTTTTCGCTTGTGTGGCAGTACTGGGGACTGACTCCAGGGCCTCGTGGTACGAGGCACATATTCCACAACTGAGCTGTACCCGCAGCCTTTTTATGTTTGGTCTGAGATGGGCTACATGAAGTTGCCCAGGCTGGCTTCAAACCTCTGATTCTCCTGCCTCAGCCTTCACGGAAGCTGGGAATACAGGTGTACACCACCCTTTCCGGCTCAGGTGTTTTTTGTTTTTTTTTTCTTTTATAAATGCATCTTTATCACAGGGTGACAAACACAGTCTTGTTTTATTTCTCATTCCTCTGAAATAACATCATTCAATGACACAGCCTCCAACTGCTCAGGTCACAGATGAAGGACCGAGGGAGAAGTTATGCAGGAGCTGTGACAGCTGGCAGGCCCAGAGGAGCCTGTCTGCACTCCGCCTGCTCGAGAGTAAGCTCTGCAGCCCAGAGGCAGGCACTGGCCAGTCACACACAGGACTTTCGAAGCACCACATCATGTACACTGGCCACTTCTCAGCAACAACTTCTAATGCTGCAAACTGCTAATGTATCTCATACCAAATGGTTTAGAGAGAACAGGCAGAACAGAACCTTCTGGACACCTTCGTCAGTAACTCTGAGATTCCTTGTGAGGTACATGAGTAACTGAGAATGCCCGAGAGGGTGGCAGGTGGAGAGCAGGGGCGGGGGGAGCACCGCGCGCCAACAGGAGGTGAGGACAGGGCAGTGAGTACCTTTCTAAAAGAGAGAGACTTAGCGGGACTAAAGGTCTGCTCTGTAAGCTCGAGCCCTTCGATAGTTTCCGTACAGTCAGAGAGGGGTGCATCCTGCAACAGTAAACTCAGTCACCAGAGCACACCAGGCCCAGCCTTGGAAATATCACCTGAGAACACAGGAGGAAGCCAGCTACGAGCATGCAGCAGGGATGTCATCAACAGTGAGGGTGCAATGATGGCTTAGTGCGTGCAGACCCTGAACACAAAACTGGAACTCTAGCTGGCCAAGTAGAGAAAATGCACCACCACTTGTCCACCCCTGAGGAGTCAGGAAAGCACCAGCGGCACCATGAGAGTCAGAGATAACTACTTACACACTGTCTTCGCTGCGCCCCAGGGACGCTCCACAGATATGCATGTGAATGTGGGACACGCTAACAGACGTCCGCCCTGATGACCCAAGCAGTGCTTGTTACAGACGTGAGTATGGAAGCCCTCTCCTAGCGCTTCCGCAGCCCCCAAAGCTGGCAGCACGTGCTCCGCGGGCATGCATGCACTGCCAGGTGCAGGACTGGGGCGGGAGCCATCTTCCGCATGCTCTGCCCAGCTAGGGCACCAGGGAAGGGGCTGGGCTGTCAGAGATTCTCAGCGAAGGTCACTGGGGGCCTATATACTCACCGTACAAGCCCATGCTCACCGAGCTCACAACTCTGCAGCAGATGGCTGGTCACCACCTGCTAAGGCCAGAGCCCTTCTGGGCGCTCACCTGGACAAGGCTCCTGTCCATCACTACACCACACAAGACCTGGGACTGGGGCCCAGCTGTCTTAATGTCCTGCAGGTTCTGCTCTCGAATCTGAGGAGGGAAAGGGGAGACACACACATCAGTAGCACAGAGAAGCCACTCTGCTGTTCTCTGCAGCCCTGTACCGGCACCTCTACTCCGCACAGCCCAGGAAGGTGGGGCAGCCTGCCCAACATGCTGGTGTCCTGTCAGCAGGTGGGGACCCTGACAGGGAACAAGTCCCTCACCGCACTACCTCTGGAGGAAATACTGGCCACACTCTCAGCATTTAGGGACACCACAAACATGCATGGAACACATGTCCCAACACAGCCGCAGCTCTAAGTGCAGGGCAGTGCTGTCTGCTCTGGCCAGGATCAGACCTGCCACTGGGCAGGTACCAGGTCAAGATTTGGGAGCCCAAGAGTATGTACTCACCAACAGGGTGGCAACAACAGTGTTAAGAAAAGGCTTCAACTCCTCTGCAAGAAGCCAGTACCCCTCCCACCCCCAGTCCAGTCCCATCACGAGGACAGCAGGACCCACCTTGTTCCTCATCTCCTGGACCTCTTTGGGGTTAGTGTTCAATGGAACAAACAGGTTAGGGACAGCAGAGGTGGAAGTTCTATGTCCATCCTCCTTAGTCCACTGTAATTTCAAGAACAGTTGAAAAGTCAGGATTATGACAACAATAAGCGACACCACAGCATCCACTGTCCAATCCATGTCACATCTGGTCATGCAGAGAACATCACAGAGAGGACTGAACCAATGACCACGTGTCCTCGGTCACTCAGCAGAGTCACCGTGAGCGTGGGATGTGGCCAAGTGAAAACCAGTGAATGGCAGGAGTCAGAGTCATGGCTGGGAAAGGGCCACCTCCAGTCTGGTGGAATCTGGAGCTCAATACGGGCCGACGCCAGAGCCAGAGGGGCCCCCTGAGACCACTGGTTCACCGCCCTGAGAGTCACCCAACACCAAAGCCAACTGGAAGCGTGAGATGACAGGATCATGAGAAGCAATGAAACGCTACTGCCTGGGCAAGGAAGTCGGGACTGTGGGGCGAGAGTGGGCATCACCAAAGTTTCACGCTGAAATAAATGAGGGCATCAGGGTGCACGGCTTACGTAACGCTTCGACCCCAAAAATTCCTGTATTCGCACTCATACAGTAGCTACCTGGCCGAAGGGTTTGGTGACGTCAAGTATTTCAGGTAACAGAGTGCTTTTAGGGTCACCAAGGACCCCAAGCCCCGAGCACTTCATGAGGCCTTAAGGCTGTTTCAGGTGTCAGTGCACACCCTCAGCGTGCTAAGCCTTCCACACAGAAGCGTGCTTTTGGATCTCCAATCGAGTCTGAGAGTTTTGGTCAAATTCTCATCTGTAAGCATGAGTAGGCACTGAACCCTAAAGCAAGCCACCCTACACAGCGAGGGCTCTCCGCCTTTCAGTGCACCTTCCAGAGGCGACTTCCAAGGGAGCAACGCAACTTCAGATGCTGAGCCACCGCGGGGAGTGAGGGATGGGCATGGAGCTGCGGGTACTCACTGATGGCCATCTTCTCAGAAAAAACAACTCCGGCGTTTTATTAAAAATAACTTTTAGTCAAGCATGAAAACAGCCACTTCAGAAGTAGGAACACATTTTTCAAATGAGTAAGAATCAGTATAAATTAAAATATACCAACCTGGCAGCACTGCACGGAATCTGAGTTACTTCAGAACAGAAAGGAGACAGGGAGAGATGCTGAACAAAGCCCTCACGGGGCACACAGACTCACACACCAAAGAACTGGGTGTCTGCCAGGCTAAGTTACAGAGCTCAGTGCTGCACTGTGTGCACCGGAAAGGCAGTCGGGCAAGGTGCAGGATGCTGGCAGCCCCAACCCGGCTTTGTCTGTTCCTCTTTCTTCAACACATAAAACAAATGAAAAAGGGAGGGAGCAGGCTGCACCTCCTTGCCCTGATGCTGCACACGGGCACCAGGGCTTCTCACCACTGTGAACCAGGAAGCACCAGAGCCACCTGAGAGAGGTAAACCTTTTGCTTTTCTTTTTTATGTCTATAAAATAAAGGCACTGTTACAAGGCAAAGCTTGCTGTCTGCTTGGCCGCTGCTCGAGAACACTGGGCTGCTGAGCTTCCAGGGCGCCTGCGCTGTGGGAAAGGGCCTCGCCTACAGACCCATCGAGACCTGTCCTCTGAGAGCCACAGGCCCTGTGCGCAGGGGCCCTGACAGGCTGGCAGCGCCGTGGCCAAAGCTGCAGACGGCCCCCACTGCACTTGGGTCATGCCGCACCCCGAGGAGCCAGACTCGCCTCCACGGCCATCTACTCACATGCAACAGTCCATGCAGAGAGCAGCTGGCATGGTGCTCGGAGGCTTTGGGACAGGCAGGGAGCGACATGGAGAGCGGACTGGGTGCCAGGAGGGCAAACTGCTTAAGACAACACTAGCAACAAGAGAACATCGGAGCCACTGAAGCTCACAACACCCAAGCATCAGATCTGGGACTGAGCAGCCTGCTCAACCAGGAAACACCAGAGTGCTCAGACATGACTGCACACCAGTACCAGGTGCTCTACACGGGGTTAACGAGCATGAGCTTGTGAGGGCTTTTGTAAGCGTAAAGACAGCTTGGGGGAGTGAGCAGAAGAGAGGCTATGTCTTAAGCAGTTCCACTGGACAGCATTACTTAGATTTTGGGTAGGGCATGAAGTGGACTTGGGGTCCGAGGAAAGTGAGTTAGTAAGAAGAGGCTGGCAGGTCCAGCCATGGGGCCGGGTCCCAAAGCCTCCGAAGCCCCAGCTGCCCGACTCGCTCTATGTCATCTAACTATGAACAGTAAGTAGGCACAGACCAAGCAGTTGGTAATACAGCTTGGCACGCAGACACCGGACGAGAGAGACTGCAGCAAGGGTTTCACGTGATCGTGTGTAATGTTCGTCCACACCTTAGTCTTCGACTTGGGACTGCTTCCATTCTGCCCTTCCTCAGAAGCTTCCTCAGCTCGGCCAGAGTTCAGCCACCTTGTCTTCTCCCGCTGCTGCTTCTGAAAACTGTGTCTGAGAGGGGAGCAAGTGCCTGAGTCACCGTCACTGGCGAAGGAGTAGCCTGTGACACTGGCAGGAACCTCCACATCGCTGTATTTTTTAGATTTCTCTCTCAGAGCAGGGTATCGATAAGGGTAACCGGTTCTGTAACCCTAGGAGACAGAGACAGGGAGGGCAGTCAACACTCCAGAGGGTGAACAGATTCACTTGGGAGCACTACAAAACAGCACGTACAGAAGAGAAGCTCAGCCTCACCCCTAAGCGCGCCGCTAGGGAAACGAGACAGGGTGTGTGTTTGCCATACTGACCATCCAACTTAGGTTTCATCCCCAGGCATCTTGTCTGTAGGCTGGTTGTTTGTTTTGAGTCTCGGGATGCAATTCAGGCTGGCTCAAACTCACAGTGATCCTCTTACCTTAGCCTCCCATGTGCCAGGACTATAGGAGTATGCCAACATCCCTGGCTTCTCAGTCTTTAAAAAAATTTTTTTTTCCTTATTAATAGACTGAGATTGAACTCAGGGCCTCTGCACTGAGCTACAGTTCCAGGCCTCTTTATACACTTTTTTAAAAGTCTTGCTAAGTTGACAGTTGTTCAAGTGGGCCTAGAACCTGTGACCCCAACCTCAGCATCCCTACATGCTAGGATTAGTATGCGCCCTTGTGCCCAGCTTGAAAGACAAGCTCTGACACACGTACAATGGACAGTCGTGCCCCTCCTGATGGAGCTAACCAGACATGACCTGTTACGCTCCCAGCTGGCAGAACTCACAGGTGGCGAAGGGCCACACTGCTTGCAAAGCCAAGCACTGTCCTATAGGTCTGAAGCAAGCTGCTACCCACACTGCCCTGTAAAGAACTGGGTCCTTGGAACCAATGGCTCTGCCACGGATCCCTCTGACGAGAAAGCTCTGGACTGCATCCACACCCTAGGCTCCACCTGCAGTTCTGTGCCTCCTTGAGCCCGGTGGGCTATGCTCCCACCCCACAGAATCCAGCAAGAAATAAAGGGGGCAGCACAGTGACAGCTGCTTGCAGACAGGAACTGGTCAAATGACCCAACACAATCTCCTAGTCACTCACAGAACTGCACCATGTGTGACAAGAGGACCTGGGCACCCAAGGGAAACAGGACTCGGGTAACATGCAGTCATCCTGCTGCCAGGGCGCCACAGCACTGCCCCTAGCCAACATGAGGCACACCTGGAGCCCAGCTCCTGAGGCTCTGAGGCAGCAGGACTGCCTAAGACCAGGAGTCCAAGGCAAGCCTGGGGAATAGAGCCTCTGCAGGCAGGAAAATCACTCTCCCCCTAAAAAACCAAGAAACATTCTTTCTCCCTTTTGGGTTGTTCTCTTTTGGGGGTCACTCCTTTAATATACACAAAAGATGGGTGATAATCACTGAGAGGGTATTTTTTAGTTTCTGAAACTTTGCTGAGACGGGAAGGTGTCATCACTAGGACTTTTCCACTGTGAGCACGCTTTGTTGAGGTGTAATGGAAGAGAATGACTCAGCCCTAAAAATGCCATCTCCAGAAACACAGATCTTATTAATTCAACTCTCCACTCGCCGGGAGGCAGGATTCGGAGCTGGCTCTGTGACTGCAGGACCCAGCCCCAGCCCAGGCCATCAGCCAACCCTCACAGAGTACGTGGTATTCTGTAAACTCCAGCCCATCAAGACTAGACTAGCGCTAATATTAAGACCTCTAATACTGTATCAGCCTCATAGTTAAAAACTTGGGGAGGAAGGGGGGCTCAGTAGTTTAATATGTGCTTAAGTATATGCAAGGCCTTGGGTTCAATACCCAGCAAGCAGCATACACACATGCACATTCTATGTACATGTGTAATGTGTGTACACTTGTTCTTTCCTAGACAAACTCTTTTCTTTTAATGTTTTATTTATTTGGTACAAGGCCTCACTATACAGCTTGACTGGCACGGCATGCGGTACCAGGGATCAAACCTGGGTCCTCACACTTGCCAGGCAAGTGCTTAGACCCCCCAAGCTATCTCCCCAGCCTATTTCTTAGTATGGAACCATCACCTATTCTCTTCTACCTAACTCAGTCATCAGCAAACATTAAATGCAGCAGATCAGACATTAAACTAAAACCTGGACTAGGATCAGTGCATGTTGTCCAGTTCATGTCTAGCACACTACACAGCATTCTCATTTTTGTTTTCTGTTCTGTTGCTTTTGAGACAGGATCTCACTATGTAGTTCAGACTGGCCCTGAACTCACTATGTAGCCAACCCATATTCAAACTCATGACGATCCACCCGCCTCAGCCTCCTGAGTGCTGGCAGGTATGCACCACCACACCTGTCATCAGCCTTCTAATATTAGAAGTCACCTGTTCATATCCATGCACCCTGGAGAGTCTGCAGAAGGAATGTCTCCTATAGATCATTTATCTCCTGCTTCCTGTCCTATTCAGCCTGCGACTGCTCTCGCCTCCATGTGCCTCTGCCCTGCTCCTAGACTACCTGTGAGCTGCTCTTCTTGACTCTCCTCTTCTTTCCCCTTCTTCTCATGACACTTCTTGGCAGAGACGCCGTGCAATGTCCATGTCCTACAAGGAAGCAGCTGTACATCTGGCATGCTCAGCACCCCTCGCCTGGGGGACTTTCCTAAGTGACACCTGCCTGGCTCTCACCACACTGCAAATACTTCTTCTGTCTTTGTCTTTCCTGTTGGCCCCTGCCTCTCCTGTGGCTTTCCGTAAGTGATGCTGGCTCTAGGCTCCCACCTCTGCAGCGCTCACAAACAGAGCACCAGGCCGCCGTTGAGTCTGGGGTCTGTCCGCTCCCCTTTCTGAGCCATGAGTTCCTAAGGCAAGAGCTACATCGAGCCATGGCATTAAGATGGGCACCAGAGCCGCAGGAGTGGGAGCCCCTGCAGGCAGTGCGCTCACACTGTGTGCTCCATGACTTCCAGGCCAGTGTTCTCCTCAGGGCCTAGGGAAGGGATCTATGTAGGAGGGGCAAGCTCCGGGGCACCCCTGCAGCTCCCTGGCAGCGCATCCTCCCAGCCCCATGGCTGTGTCTGCACAGACGCATTCCTTCTCTCTACTTGGCCATGCAGGGTCCTGCCTGTCCCTTGAGGCTTTTTCCACCCTTTTACAGAAAACTCTCTCCCTAATCTTTGCAAAGGAACAAAATCCCTCCCTCCAACCTTTAACACAGACCACATCCAGCCGGGCACTGGCAACACTTGCGACTGCCTGGTACAACGGGAGCCAACAGTCCGGCCCTCTGGGCCATGCTAGACTCTTGTCCCTACAGCATGGCACCTGCCCCAAAGAAGACAGATAGCAAGGACACACACCCAAGCCCCATGCATGCAGTGCAGCTTCCTAGCAAAACAGACCCACAGCTGCCTACTTGAGAGTCCCTCTGCAGCTGGCTGTGATGCTGGCTGCTGGCTACCTGCTGACCCTGCAAAGCTTGCTGCGGGGCTCCTGTCCCCACCAAGCCCCAACATCTGGTTACCTTAAAAAAACAGGATAACGTACAAAACTGAGACCTCTGTATTTTATCATAATTTAGCCTAAAAGTTAAAAAAACATTTCTATGTACCCATGTCCTATGGTGAATGTAATCCTATACTACAAACACATACTAATAAAAATTTAAAGGCTGGGTAGATAGCTCAGCAGTCTAGCACCTGCCTGGCAAGCACAAGGACCCGTGTTCAATCCCTGGCACCACATGCAGTACCAGCCCTATGCTGAGCTGGCCACCAAAACCAGGTATGGCAGCACACACCCATAATCCGAGGGCTAGGAAGGCTGAAACAGGAGGATCACCATGAGTCTGAGCTGCGTAGTAAGACCCTATACCAAATCAATCAATCAATCTTTTTAAAAAAATTTAAATGTGCTTTGTGATTTTTTGTTTGTTTTGTTTTGTCTTTTTTGAGACAAGATCTCACTATGCCATTCAGGCTAGCCTTCAACTCACTTTGTAGTCCATGCTGGTCTTTTTAAATTTATTTTTTGTTTATTTTTGGTCCCCCCCCCCCATGCTCGTCTTGAACTTGCAATATCCTCCTGCCTCAGCCTCCCAAGTGCTGGGATTATAGGCATGTTTCACCACAGCCAGCTTTGTGATGATTTCTGAGGGTGAATCATCCAGACAGGCATGACGGTGGCCATTTTGCTTGCAGTGAAGGCATCGACATCTGCGCCGTCACAACGAAACTTGTATTACCAGCTGGAGGCACCATTCTTACCAGATTATCCAGCATCCGCATGAGGGCTTCAAATTCCTGCTCCCCAATCTGCCACTTGGGAGGTGACCCACTGCCTTCCCCCTCTGGAGGTCCTGGGGAACGAGACTTGGCTTTGTACTTCCCAGGGTCCAGCAGAACTAGGTTGTCTGGTCCTCCTGAGCTGGCCAGAGTCCGAACCTTTTCCAAAACAAGCAAATATGATGGCTTGTGTTCCAGAAATCAAAAGCATCAGATGACTGGGGGACACGTGGACAGAAAGGTAGGTTTCAACAGAGAGCAAGTCACTACAATATGGAAATAAAAACACAGGGCAGACGGCGACAGCCCCGTCACAACGTCATTGCCAGCATGTTTTCCTCAGCATGTCAGAGACACTGGGCACTCAAGCTTAGTGCAGAATGGGAGAACAAAGCGCCCTTAGGGACCCCCAAGGTCTTGGAATCTTAGGGCAGCACTGGGGCTGGGCCTGAGCAGAGGACACAGGACATGCCTCCACCTCTGTTCTTGCTTTTCCTGCATATGACATACATAAGGTACACAATATGGTGCTTGGGACACATCGGTACTCCAAAAGTGCTAACCACTTATGTTATTTGAAAAAGAAAAAATTAGAAATGAAAAGCCCAGCACTCTGTGGTGACGTAAGTTGGTGCAATGGTACCTGTTGCGGTAGAATCTGCGCCAACCACATGGCCATGACCTACCTGAATCTCACAGGCCACCACCAGGTTATGGATATAGTAGAATGCCTCCTCCACACTCTCTCCAACAGACACGAGCCCATGGTTCCGCAGAATAAGCACCTGCAGAGGAGCAGGGCGTTCTGTGGAGCCAGCAAGCACACCAGCTTCCTCAGCTCCTCCAGCCATGCACTGAAGCCCAGAAGAGGCCCCACTGACCTTGCTTGTAGGCCCCAGATTCTTCTGAATCGACACCTTCTCCTCCTCATCAACCAGAATGCCATGATAGTCGTGATAGGCCACTTCTCCAAGGGACAGCGCCTCCGGGGAGATCGGCAGGAGGCCACACTTCATTGCAGACACCTAGGGATCAAGCAGTCACCAGGAAGGAAGGAGGAGACAGCGTTAAACTGCAACCCAGGACAGGCGAACACTTTCCTCACAGAATTGCAGAATGGGGGAGTTGTTTCATTTTGTTCACTTTTTGGAATAACTGGAGTTGTGAACTTTCCAATATAAAGTGGACTCTAGGCCTTGGTGTGCATAGCCAGCAGCACCTCAGGAAAAAGCCCGTGGCCTTGCGCTTCCCACTGGTCACACACACTGTGGAGGACTCGGTGACCCAGAGCCTGAGTCCACACAAGGAGCGATGATGAGTCCCAAAGATGTTCCCAGTGTGAGGATCTGTGTGTTTCCCTGCTTAAATGGCAGGTAAGAGCAAAATACCTGAAAATTAGTTAAAACCAAGGTATAGAAGTTTAGGACAGAGCCAGCCAAAAAGCTCAGTGGATTAAAGTCCTACAAGCAGGCGCAGGGGCCGGGGAGTTCGATCCCTGGGCCTGCTGTGCTGGCCCTGCCCCTGGGGTGCACTGCAATGGCAATTGAGACTAGGCGTGGTGGTGTGCGCCCGTAATCCCAGCTCTTGGGAGTCTGTAAACAGGTGGATCACTGAGTCCAATCTAATAGCGAGACCCTGAACACCCTGTAGACTCTTCCCTAAAATACAAAAAAAAAAAAAAAAAGTTTAGGACAGCTATAATTTCTCAAACTAAAAAAAAATCTAAAGGGCTCCATGTCCCTGCGAGTTTCCTGAAATCCTCCAGAGCTCTCCTTTAATATGCTAATGTAGACAGACTTCCAGGCAGCTAGGAGTGTGATGACTCTAGATTGACAGACTCAAAAATGTAGTCAGTATTCCGTAGAGGAAAGTTTATCTGAAAAGACAATGGCACATGTAGCCCCTTTCGGAGTATTAATTTCAAAAAGAAATTCCCTTATGAAGCAGAGTTATTCTGATACTCCCCACCCTGCTGGACAGCAGCTACCACTGAGCTGTAGAAGCAGCCCTGGCTTTTATAGGTAAGTGGATGCAACCAGAAACCACACTCCTAAGTACAACCCACCAGACTTACACGTGTAAACACTGTGTCGTCTCCCTAGCGTAAGAACCTGAAAGAGCAAGTAAGATCCAAAAGGTACAATAGATATTGTAAAAGGAAAACTGCTCAGAATGAAAGAATACTTAGAATGAGGCAAAGAGCAAAGAAGGGGAAGATATGTACGTATACCTAAGCTAGCTAAGATAACTGTACTACTAATTTCTATAGTTCACTGAGAGCAACAGATAGTGCCTATACTGTCGGCCGACTCTGCATGCCTGTTTCCGGTAATCCGAGCAACTACTCCGAGGAGAACGACATGCAATATAACAGCCACTGTTAATCTCCTGTCATCTTGCTTTGAAATGCTGTGTTGTTTTCATAGCATTTTGTCCCCCACCTCTCCTTAAGAAAAAAAGAGAATCAGCCCTGGAAAATTTTAAAATACATTACATGGAGCTGGGCAAGGCGGTACGTGTCTGTCATCCCTCGGGGAGGCTGGAGCAAGAGGACCACAAGTTCAAACCCATCCTGAGCAAATTGGTGACTGTTATTATTTTTTAAAAAATAATTTTAAAAGGGGGAGTTAGATATGTAGTTCAGTGAAACAGCCTTGGGTTCAGCACCCAGTACCACGCCTATTATCTGTAACCATATTCTTAAAAGTAACTGAAAGGTTCTTAGAAGTATGGGCATTTTTAGTGGTTCAAGTAATGTCCATTTTTTTAGGGAAAAAAAAATACAACATTCCAAGAATGATCTGTTTAATAAAATCCTAACACTGACTTCAAGAACCATGTTAAGTGTGAACCAATGTTCATCTACAGACTCCAATATGTGTGGCATTAACGTAGTAGGATAGGTTAAAATACAGCCCTTCTGAATCAATACAGCTACCTGTTGTACAGTGAGCCCAAAAGTCCAACTTATGAAGTATTTCACCTCTGCCCAGCTGCACTGACAACTGGCGCTTGTGTGTTCACAAAGAGATGTGTGGGCCTTTCAGGACCCCCACGAGGAAGGAGTGAAGTGAGTGGCCCCTGCAGGCCGCAGGACATGGACGGTCTCCTGACCTCTGGGGCCTCTTCCCCAGCTGCCCTCCTTACTTGCCCACCATGATCCAGGCTGGGAGGTCCTGGCTCTGGACAGCACATCCGTGGGGTAGCAGTGGGGGCATGTCCAGGACTCACCTTTTCCCTCTGCCCAGCCCCTTCCCCGAGCAGTCACCACACCCAAGTCCGCCGAGCTCTGATCACTGTCTCTCTGTGGCCTTGCCTCCTTTCCCCTGCCTCCTCTGCCTAGAAGGAATCTTGTTTACTGCTGTTACTTTGCACTGTGACACCACAATTTTCAACACAATCAAACCTCACCCACTGCAGTCCTCTAGAATTCTGTAATTGGTAAGTCAAACAGACATTTAGACTCATCATTGGTTTTTCAAGATTGGACAGCAAACAGATTCCTTTAAAAGGAAAAAAGTAGGGCCAGCCTGATACCTCAGCAGACTAAAGCGCCTGCTTAGGCAGAGTGCAGTGGCCGGGGTTCGATCCCCAGCGTGCCGTGCCGGCCCACCCCCGGGGTGCACTGAGACGGTGAATGAGACTGGACATGGTGGCGCATGCCTGTAATTCCAGTACTTAGGAGGCTGAAAACAGGAGGATCCCTATGAGTCTGATCCACATAGTGAGACCTGTAGACTCTATATCTTCTGTACTAAATGTAAAATAAAAATCATAATAAAGGAAAAAAGTAAAGTTTTTAAGGAAGTCATACTAGGTAGGGGCTGGGAATACAGTTCTGTGACTCAGCGCTTGCCTAGTACATGTAAGGTGCTAGGTTCAAACCCCAGCCACAAAAGGAGATCTTAATGGGAAACTAGTTTTTGTCCAACAATGTTAGACTGACTGCCCTGTCTGATGAGCTAAGGCACTCCCAGGAGGAGACTCACCGCAGCACCAGCGGGGGTGTGGATGTGCACAATGCACTTGACATCTGGCCGAGCAGCATAGATGGCAGAGTGCAGCGTGAAGCCAGCCTGATTGACGCCAAGGTTAGTACTTCCACGATCCACTATATCACCTTGTAGATTTATTTTGACCTGAAATGAACCACAAAGATGTCAACAGGACCTCAAGTCACCCCAGCTGGAAACTACGTGAACCCAAGCTCAGGCGTTTGAGCTCCTCAGGGTCCTTCTCCAGCAACATGACCAGTGCTGTACGTTTGCTGCACCCTCCCGGTCCCGGGGTTTACATGTGCAGCAGTACGCAAAGCCCATAGGACCCTCGCAAACACCTTACCAAGCTGGACGCAGTCACTTCACTGTAAAGAAGCCCAAAAGGAACAATGAGGAAGTGCTCCTGCTCAGAATTCACTCTGGTCTGTAGGGAAAACAACTGAGTTAGCTCCCAAGTGCCTCTGAAATTACCTGCATCTCTTTCAGGCCACAAACTTACAGGGGAGGTACACAGTGCCTAACACAGAGCTAAGAGGTGCTAGAAGGTGTTTTTATGCTAAATGGTAATTTAACTTATGAAATATATAAAGTGTTTCTCCAGGCACAACTCACTCAGGTCCCCCTTCTGTCCCTCTCTTGGACAGAAGCTTTCTTTCCCCCATATATTCTGCTCTTCAAAAAAAATAAATAAATAAGTAAAATAGTGTTTCTCCATCACATTTATGAAAACTGACCACAAAGGCCAGGCGTGGTGGTGCACAACTGTGCTCCCAGCTACTTGGGAGCCTGAGGCAGGACTACCACATGTTTAAAGCCACCATGCGTAACACAGTACAACCCTATCTCAAAAGTAAAAAATGTGTGTGTGTGTATTAGGGAAAACAAAGGCAGCTCAACAGCAGCACTGGGACAAGAGTGAACCGCCCTTGCTCACTGCACATGCAAGCGGTTTCACAGGTGAAAGCAGCCCCACCCCCGGGGATAAGAAGGACAACTGCTTGGTGAAAGCACGAGTGAGAGCGATCTCCTTTAAAAGTCGCTACACAATACCACATCACTGCTCCTCGCACAGTGTATTTCTTTCTCAGAATTCATTCAATACAGATTTGATAGCATGTATCAAACATATGCTAGATGCCAGGAATATAGCAGTTTAAAAAAAGAGAAATCTTGCCCACAAAAGTAAATTCACTCATAAATTCACTGATTTTCATCTTTGATTTTTGTTTGTCCGGTTTTTTTGAGACAGGGTTTCACTGCATAGCCCAGGCTGGCCTCGAACTCACAGGGATCCTCCTGTGTCAGCCTCCCCAGTGCTGGAATTACAGGCATGCAACACTAGTGCAAAATCTAGTTTTTATAATGCTTTTGGGATAGACTCAAAAGACTTCCTACAGATTAAATTGGAATATATACTACTACTGAGTTAAGAATCAATATACAATCCTCTAACAGCAGGAATTAGTGGCCTCATTCTGTGCCTCTAGGGACCAATGTCAGTTCTGTGCCTCTAGGGACCAATGTCAGTTCCCCAAGCAAAGGGCAGAGATACAGAATGGGCTCCGGATGGTCACCTCAAGTTCAGCATTCCCTGGGATCCTAAATGGAACTGAGCCAAGCACCTGCTGCGTTCTGAAGGTGCTAAGCCTCGACAGCTTCCCATCCACACTAGGACAGAAAACAGCCACCAGCTAAGGGCCACTGAGAAGGAACACCCAGCCCCAAGTGCCAGCTGGCTCGGACAGGCCTGTCCTCCTCCCAAATCCAATGCGATCTCAAAGACCTAACTCAGACAATGCGCTCCCATCCCCTAACACCTGCTAGCACTTTAAATCCTTTTAGCAGAAAATCCCCTATGACCGCCTCTCAAGGAGAGGGCAGGATGACCTGCATTCAAGTTAATCACACCTTCTGAACTGCCGCTCATCACAGGTCTGGTGGTAAGCAGCATTTTAGAGCCCCAAAGAAAGTGGAGCTACAATGAAAGCCGCAGCTCACACTTCCCATGGCTGTGACATCTTCACGGGACTCACTCTTAGCCAACGTACCGCATGCAGTCTTTCTTTTTTTTTTTTTTTTTTGTGGAACTGGGGATTGAAATCAGGACCTTGCGCTTAGCCAGGCACGTGCTTATTCTACTGAGCCATCTCCCTGGCCCCCGCATGCAGTCTTCCTTAGAGCATCCTGTCCAGTGTAATCAGAAGAAAGGTCAGCAGCCTCCCAGTGGTTTTCCTCCTCCAGGAAAGGAGCTGCACCCGGCTGAGCTAACGGGCCCACTGAGCCTGCATCAGAAGACCCTGGAGAGTTCTTGATCCAACTTTACAGAAGCAACTCAGCCAAAGGGGCTCTCATGCCCACCGCGTGCGCCTCAGGCAGCACAGCAACAAACAACATACAGAATGCAGGAAGGCCATGACAAGGAAACAGCATGCACAGCGTGAGCGACACCATTGCCTGGGCCCGACTGTCAGCCTGCACTGCCAGAAGTCAGCCCTAAAAGCAATGCAGGCAACAGACAGGGAAAGGCAGCTCTGAGTGCTGGCGGAGAGCACCACCAAGTCCCAGAAGCACAGCACTCTGGTCACACAGGTGGCTCCAGACCACCACCTAGGGCTGTTTCAGACTATGAATCTAGGGCAGCTGACAAGTATCCGCGTGGTACGTACAGAAGGAAAAGCAGTCTCAGTGGCTGTCCCACTGGCCAGCTCAAGAGACAGAAGGGGAGGCAGGATCATGACTGTCTTTTGAGACATCCGTGTAAGGTATGCCTATCATACTAAGCAGGCGTTACATTAGTGATTTGAAACATCCAATAAAATAAATGAAATTAAAAAACTGTAAGTTTAAAACAAGCTCAAAAACCAAAGGAAGGAGCCAGGCATAGGAGTGCATGCCTGTAATCCCAGAATCTGTGAGGCTAAAGCAGAATGATCACTGCAAATTCAAGGCTAGCCTGGACTATACACGAAGACTCTGACTTAAAAAAAAAAGTGACTACAAAAGAAAAAAAAAAAGGAAGGAAATAATTCAAAGAACAAAACTATCTCTAGAAAGGAAAGGAGAAACAGGCAAGGAAAACAACAGGATTGGGGCCAGTCAAATAGCTCAGCGGATTAAAGCACCTACAAGCAGGCAGGGCCACGGGTTCAATTCCCTAGGCCTGCCGTGCTGGTCCCACCCCTGGGGCACCCTGAGATGGCAATAGAGATTGGGTGTGGTGGCACAGGCCTGTAATCCCAGCTCATGGGAGGCTGTAAACAGACAGATCACTCCAAGTCTGATCTAGTAGTGAGACCCTGAACACCCTGTAGACCCTTACCTAAAATACAAAAAAAAAAAAAAAAAGGATTCGAAAATGGCCACAAGGGCAAAGGGTCCCATTTTTTTCCTGAGACACAATAAGGTTATTTGCAGAAAAGGGGAGATCAGAAGGCTGAAAGTGCAGAAAAGCCTTTACATGCTGGTGGATTTGCATGAAGACATGCCGTGGCTGCTGGGCAGCGGGGCCTGCTGAGATCAGCCGCCAGCCTTAGGAGCTCACTGCGAGGCTTTTTGCAGCAGCCGGGTGCTCGGATCCGGAGGGATGGAGGGCAGCACCATCTCCTGGCACAGCCCCAAATACAGCAATGCTTGGGTGGCACCAGGCACCCAGCAGCGCGTAACTTGGGTAAACTGAGGAACAGAACAGGGCCAGAAATATCAAAAATGGTTTCAAAAAGCTGGAGTAACTGAAGAAACAGGTGTGACAGAAGACTTTGGTCAGAGTTGGGAAGCAAGAAGTTCATTCCTGGGCTTTTAAGCATTAAAAAATATATATATATTAAGAACTGCCTATAATTTGGTAAACACTCATTTAGTAGGTTAGCATACAAGAAAGAAACCTTAAAGAACAACCATCCTCTTAACTTTGACCAGAACTCAGCAGTTCTTAGGTCAGATATTCTGTAGGTTTCCTGAAGCCCAGTGCTTTGCATCCGCAGCACAGGCTCAGGCACAAACCCAGAACAATCAGCGCCAGCCCGGGGCCAGCCCTGGGCGCTCACCGTGATGTGGTTGTAGATGAGCTGAGACCACCCGAAGAGGTCGGCCAGCCTGTAGAAGGCAGCCAGTTTACACCGCAGCAACTTCTCGCCTTTGTCATATGCGATGGAATCAGAACCTCTGAGGTCATTCACGGGGGTCACCATGCCGAGACCTGAAACAATGAAAGCAGAATTCAGGTATTAATAATTCTTGCCAGATATAAGTCAAATAACAATAGATCTAAGATATGTATCTTATAAGACTGTACTCTCTAACATTAATTAAATCAGAAATAAGTAACAAAAAGGGAGTCAATTTTGTGGGATAAGGCACACTTAGAAATAAATTTATAACATTAAACATATATATTAGAAGTGAAAAATTAAATCTTTTTATTAAAGCAAAAGTTGATCATTCAAAAAGATACAAAATTTAAAGTTAGTAGGATAAAAATAAGATAAATTTAAACAGTAAAACAAACCTCTAGCCATGCCTACCAACAAAACAATGGAGACAGAAAAACATAGCAGCATGGGGCTGTCACTATGCTCCTGGAAGGCCGCAAGGCTAGTAGGGGGATGTGACCACCACTCCAGCAAGCTGCTCACTTGACAAAACAGATTCCCCAAAGCTGACCAGAGCAGACACACCCAAGAACTCCATTTCTGCCAAGCTGAGATTGCAGTCACAAAATGTCCACGAAGAAAGCTCGAGGCCCAGATGTGCCTGTGAATTTCATCAAACTTTTTTTTTTAAGGATTTTTTTTTTTTTTGCTCCGAATGCCTTCAGGCCAGGTTTGGCTGGCTGGAGTGTTGTGGGGATCGAACTACAGCAACCTGAGGCTGACAGCTTTGTGGAAGCAGCCACTTGAAGAACTGAGCGAAGGGGCAGGCCCCCTTCATCAAACTTTTGAGGGAGAAACAATACCAAGGCAAGAAAAACTCTTCCAGAATATTCTCCAGTTCATTCTATAAGGCCAGCACACCCTCACACCAATGGCATACAGTGACATTAGATGACACTGGAAGGAAAAGCCCAATGTTTCTCATGAAGCTAAAAAAATACTTCATACAGCTTTAGCAAATAATCCAGTAATATACAGAGTTAAAGAATCATGACCAAGGGCCAGGGAGATGGCTCAGTAGAATAAGTGCTGCCCTGGCAAACGCAAGGGTCTGAGTTCAATCCCCGGTTTTGCCAAAAAAAAGAATAATTATGACCAAGCCAGGTGTGGTAGTGCATGCCTGTAATCCAAGAGGCTGAGGCAGGATTGCTGTGAGCCCAAAGCCAGCCTAAGCTACATAGTGAGACCCTATCTCAAAAAAAACATGACCAATAGGGTTCCCCTGGAGAGTATCAGGTTGGGCCAGAACCCAAAATCAAGAAATGTAATTCATCATCCTGTCCTGAAGAAAAAAACCTATGTGATCATTTCAATAGATCAAAAGACACACTTTACGAAATCCTGTACACATCTGAATACAAGCTCTTAGCAAGGTAGACACAGAAGAACACGTCCTATTTGGATAAAGGATATTACTAAAAACCTACATGGACATCAGCGCAAGGGTGGAAGGCAGAATAATGCCAGACACATACCCTGGCACTAGCACTGAATCCTGCACTGTGGCCTCTAGTCAGTGTAGTATACAAGGAAGGAAAGTCAAAACAAATGCTGAAAAGGAAGAAAAAAGTCTATCTTCCTTCACTTTTTGTGGTACCAGAAATCAAACTCAGAACTTTGCACCTGCCAGGCAGACGCTGCGCCACTGAGTTATATGCACTCACCCTTCCTTCTTTTTTTTTTTTTTTTTTTCGGTCTGTGTGTGTGTGCGCACATGCACACAAGTATAAGATAATTAATTTTTTATTATTAAATGCTATCAAATGTCCTGAAATGCACTAAGAATCCATGTGAAAATATGAAAACCTTACCAGCAGCCTTTGTATTTCAAGATGGAGATTTCAGCCAGTAAATTAAATGTGATTTTTTTTTTAAAGGTCCTGGAGATAAATTTGGAACCTTACACATGCTCGGCAAGCACTCTACCACTGATCTACACACCTAGACCCTTTTTAAATTTTTATTTTGAGAGAGGGTCTCAGTTGCTCAGATTCTTAAGTCTGCAATCTTATTGCCTCAGCCTTCTGAGGAGCCGCAACTACAGGCATGTGGCACCCTGTGTGGCTAAATGTGATCATTAATACTCGGCAGGTAACAATGCATCACACCTCGTGAAAGTCAATCAACTTCTAAGCACATCACAGGACGGACAGGGCAACAGCAGCCACCAGTGAGCTCGTGGAAGCTGAGCCCTGGGGCTCCATCAGATCTGATGCCTGAACCAGGATGCCACACCAGCTTGGATGCACCGCTGCCCACATCACCATGCACTCCGTCCTGGGGAGGCTAACGCCACGGTGTCAACAGCCAGGACAGGGCTCTACCAACACAGCAAACTGCCCTCCGCATGCATGCACCCTCCTGGCCTCCCTCCACTGGCTGCTTCAGGAATTTCTCTCTCCTCAGTGTGCAAGGAGAAACAAGGAAAAGTAGGTAAGAAATGGTGGTGAGTAAAAAACACTGGCATGGCAGAAATGATTTAACCAAACTGGCCCATTATTCCAGAATTATCGTTTCTGATTAGTTATCTGAACTCACAAAGGGCCTAAGAAACTATATAGAAAGTCCTTGCCTTAGAAACAATCAAATCTCACCGGTTTACTAGAAAAAGACTCCTCGAGTCAAGATGCTTCAGGGTTATGGCCAACCTTCTAACACGACTAACACACAACTGTTTTCAAAATAATGAGCACCGTGTATTGCAGTTGTATGCCCACACGCAGGCTTCTCCCTGGCCTGCGTAGAAAGTCAAAAACTACTCACTCATGTTTAAGGCAGCCATCCCTCCCTGAGGGGCTGCCGGGTAGACGCTGGGCACATTCGCCGTCATGAAGTCTGCAATCTGCTGTAACGCCAACAGGCCTGTAGGATTCTTCCCCTTCCTGAACTGTTCTTGTATCATGGATTCCAGCTCTTCACAGAAAGCCTAATAAAATGCATAGGAAGAGAGCGCACTGCCATTTCTCTCCTGCTGGGGTAAGCGTAGCTATCATGGCAACCAATTCTTGCTTCTATTCTATGCTGGAACATCCATTACAACTGGAAAGATAAACTGACGCATTCTTTTGTGGTAAGTTATATAGTAAAAATAAAAACTTGAATAGGGGTTCTATTTCTACAAATATATATATTAAGGAAATAATCAGGAGAAATGTGCTCAAATATATATGTTCATATGAACGTTCATTTCAGCATTACTGACAAAAGAATAAAACAGTCTACATTTCAAACAACAGAGGACTGATTTGGTACCCTGGGAATTTTGTGCACGCATTCAACTCGAAAAGCTAGAAAGAAATTAAATGACATAAAAACTGTTCTTGATAGGGTTTTTTTTAAAAATAGAATTTTGAAGGGTCATAAAACACTAGTTTTTGTAAGTTAATACATAAACAGAATAAAAGTTAACACATCAAAATGTTAATTATAATTATCTTAGTGACAAAATCATTACTAATTTTTCATGCCATTTTGCAATTTCCAATATTGTCTCCAAAATAATTTTGAAATGAATTTGCATACCAAATACATACATTCTCTACCATTCCTAGATTATTCAAAAAGATCCCACTGGATTGGTGGTGACCTTAACATAAATTCACTTGTAACAATAGATATTTTAGAGTTTCCCAAGCTACATTAATGTAATTTTTTCTTTGTTCCATAAAGAAATACGTGTCAAGTACACGATATGGAATATGAAAGTGTGAGCTCCCTGGGTGAGGGTCCACACCAAGCCACAGGTACCGTAGGACTCACTTATTTCACACTGAACTGGTTTCTAGTTTTCACTGCTTCAGCTGCAGAGAGACTACGGCAGGACACTGCTGAGGACAGCCCAAGCCCAACCCTGCTGGAGGAAGCACGCAGCCACACGTGCGCTGTGTTCACACACAAGTGTCAGCCAGGCACCTCCCAGGACCTGTGATAAGGAACACTGAGACCACACCTGCAGTCATGCACAACGGAGTGAGACCTGGCACAAGCAAGAAACAAACCACACACACTGCTGCGACTCCTTAAGTCCATCACGCTCATGTTAGCCGACCCCGTGAGCCAGGAAGCTCCTCTTCTGGATTCCTGTGTGGCCAGCTCCTTCCTGGCAGAGTTGGGTTAAATCTTCCCTCCCAGAGAAACCATAATTCTACTCAGCCTAAGCACCTTGCTGCTTTTGGCTTTATTTTCCTGTCTACCTTCTTAAGCTGGAATGTCATGTGTGAGGCCTGATCTGGGTGATTACACACATGCCCTACATATGTCACCACTCATTAAGCAGCAGGCATGGTGGTGCATGTCTGTAATCCCAGGCGCTTAGTCCACTGAACTATCTCACCAGTCCCATAGACAGTGTTTCAACCAGCTACGGCCATCTGCGTGTGCACAGGCTGCATCTTCAGGGAATGAGGGACAATCTCAGGAGACTGAAGCAGAAGGATCACAAGTCTAAGGTCAGGGGCTGGTGAGATGGCTCAGTGGTCTAAAGCACCTACTTGGAACAAGCTTAGCAAAGCACAGGGACCGCGGTTCAATCCCCCAGCACCACATGCCAGGTAGCCCCGCCCCCTGGTGGGCTGAGCTGGCCACATACACATAAATAAATAAAAAATTAAAAAAAAAAACAAGTCTAAGGTCAGCCTGGGCAACTTGGGGCTTGTCTCAAAATAAAATGTGGGGGTAAATAAAAGGGCTAAGGATGTAGTTCATTGGTAGCACATACAAGGCTCTGGATTCTATCCTCAACATGGAAAAAAAAAACACCTTACCAAGCTACATACATAAGATCAGTGTACCTGACTGTATGTAAGTCATATTTTAATAACAAGTCAACCAAAGCTATTCATTACAGGCCTTGTATGCCTTATTTACTGCTAAATCCTTAATTCTAACCCATTATGTCCCCACAGCACATAAAACACAACCAGTGCTTCCCCAAAATACTGACAGGATAAAGCAGGAACATGTTAGAAAGAAAAAGAAAAAGAAAAAAAAGTCCATACAGAGCGGCAGCAGCAACACAAGACCACCATGACGACTGTTGCACATTCCCTGAAGACGCAACCTATGCACATGTGGGTGGCCGTGGCCAGTTCAAACACCAGCTTGGGCTAGTGAGCTAGCTCAGCAGACTAAGTGCCTATAGGGACCAAGGTTCAATCTCTGGTACCACATGCCACGCCAGCCCTGCCCCCAGACATACTAAGCCAGCTACTGAGACCAGGCATGGTGGTGCACACCTGCAATCTCAGCACTAGGAAGGCTGAAAATAGGAGGATTACGAGTCCAAGCTGCACAGTGAGACCTTGTACCAAATACATTTAAAAAAAAATGGGATGGTGAGATAGCTTAGCAGTCTAAAGCACCTGCTTAGGCAAGCTTAGGCAGGTATAGGGGACCCTCAGGGCACGCTGAGCAGGCCAAAAAAAAAGAGAAACAAATATACATATACATATACATATACATATACATATACATATACATATACATATATATTTGTCCAGGCAGAGTGACCAGGACCTGAAATGCTAGGGACCACATGTGATTCAGATCTGGGAGTTTTTCAGAACTTGGAACCTTTTGCATAGACCTTATGGAGTTATGGATCCCTAATCTGAAAGTCTGAAATGTTCTGAAATCCAAAACCTTCTGACTGGCACAATGCTCAAAATGTTTCGAATTTCAGCTTCTTGGGTTAGGGATGCTCAACTACACTATAGGGGAAACAGGAATTTCTGAAATGCCCCAATAAATAAAAGACCCCTGGAGAAACACCACGACGAAAAGACGCAGCACATACCTCCTTGTCGCGACCCTGAAGAGCTCGCACTGCCTGGCAACACGAGCTAACCTGAAGTTTTTCCACAGACATCGCACATTCACAAGGCACCCACTTCCTGTGTGAAGACTGACTGATGCCACCACTCAGACAAATGCACAAAAAATAAGACACAAGAGGGAAGCCCACATTTGCTCTGGGACACACTTCTCTTACAGGACTTTGCAGAATCATGGACACCCTCTTCTTCTGCTCCATCATATTGAAATCCTGGCGAAGGTCTGGCGCCATGTTCCTCTCCCGCAAGTATTCTGGGTTGTTCTCATCCACTCTGTCAAAGTACCTCTCCTTGTGAGGGGCTGTGGTCGGGGGTGGTGAAGTCACCACTGCAGCCCGAGGGTCACCATTCATGGCACCACCTTTCAAGATTCCTACAAAATCAAAACAAAAGGAAACGCTGTGTGTGAATCAGTGTTCTATACCATTTTGTCATGAGCACATCAGCCTGGTAAACACGTGCAGACGCCTAACAGTGGGAGGCTTCTTTGTGGCTCCAGAGGCGCAAATGGATTCTCCACTGATACACATCCTGGCCATTGTTTTGCAGGAGACAATAGCAGAGCCATCCAACAAGCTATGATGTCCACAGGCACCCACAAAGAACTAGACACAAAGATCCTGAGCAACCTACACTTAGGATTTGCACTCACGATTTACCCCACACACATCACTTCTGAAGAACATCTGATTTCTTCCTTCTGCTCTTCGTTTTCTTCTTTCTCTCCTTTTTTGGGCACTAAGGATGGAGCCCGGGGCTTTATCCATATATCTTAGTGCAGAGAAATGTTACCTGGAGTAACAGTGTTTAACCTGCAAAGCGTCAGCAGGCAGGGAAGCTGCTCACACAGCTGCACTCACCCACGGAGAACACTCCTCACGAACGTCAACGCTCTGACACAGGGCACAAGCAGTGGGTGCCCCCAGAAGTGTCACTGTGCTCCAGTTTGCGCACAGTTGAAAGGGTGCCAAGATGCGCAGGCATAGAAGCCCGCATGGCCGTTTGGGTAGAATATGAACCTGGATGGGGCGGGAACTGCCCAGGGGATTGCGTAGCACACCCTCGGTGGGACGTGCTTTTGGAGGGCGGCTTTGGGGTCACGTCTGGTCTCTGGCTCCTTCTCTCTGACTGCTCCCCTGCTCTGCGTCCTAGCTGGGAAGAACTAAGCAGCCTTGTTCTGCCGAGCCCCTCCACCCTGATGCTCCCGCCGTAGAGCCAGCCAAAACAGACTAAACCCTCTAAAACCACGAACCAAATAAACTTTTTTTTTTTAATTTTAGTATTTGGTACAGGGTCTCACTGCACAGCTCAGACTCGCAGTGATCCTCCTGTTTTCAACCTCCCCAGCTCTGGGATTACAGGCGTGCGCCACCACATCCAGACTCAATACACTTCCTTTTTAAGCTATGGGTCTTGGTTGGGTGTTATGTCCCAGAGAGGGGAAAGCTGACCAACACAGGCTGCAATATAGTTACTTATTTTATATTCTCTCTAACCCAGACATTCACTTAAAATGGCATTCAAATTACTATATTATGATTCATCGTCAACTGCTAAACCCCTACCTCTGCTTATCATGCAAGAGATAACTTGTACCTTGTTCCTATGACTGCTTCAACAATATATATGCAGTGGTCACTGAGCACCTGTTATGTCCAGTCACTTTGTGCCGGGCAAAAAAGATAACCAACACGACCTACACTATGAGGAAAGTCAGACACGATCCAACAGGGCAGAAAGACTCACAGTGGATTTTTTTTTTTTTTTTTTTTTTTTTTTTTTTTTTTTTTTTTTTTTTTTTTTGGTGGTACCGGGGATTGAACTCAGGACCTTGCGCTTGCCAGGCAAGCACTTATTCTACTGAGCTATCTCCCCAGCCCCACACAGTGGATTTTAGAGGCACCTATAGCTGCTTCCTGGTTCCCAGAGAAGAGTGAAAAAAAGAATCTTTAAAAGTTAATGAGGGGCCGGGGAGATGGCTCACTAGAATAAGCACTTGCCTGGCAAGTGCAAGGGCCTGAGTTCAATTCTCAGTTCCACCAAAAAAAAAAAAATAATAATAATAAGCAGCAGCTGCTGCTAATGAGTTCAAGACAAAACACAGGTACCTTTTCTTTAGCTATCCACTGCCATATAGACCAGGTAAGGACTGCAGACTAGATTGCGGACTGGACTGTCAAGAGTTCCACTCCTTCAATTAGGAAATCTACAAACTTAAAATCAAAATACGCATATTTTGGACCCAATGATAGAGGTTGGGGTTGGTTTGTTTATTTTCTGAACACTAGGAATGGAACCCAAGACTTGAACTAAATCCCCAGCCCTTTGGATTTTTTAGATAGGATCTTGCTATCTTGCCTAGGCCAGCCTCAAAGTTGTTATCCTCCTGTTTCAGCCTCTCAAGTAGCTGCAATAACAAGTATAACTTAAATTTTAACTGTGTTACGACGAAAACTTTTGTGGATGAGCTGTAGCTCAGTGGTTTAGTACTCGTCTCCAATGCGTGAGGGCCAGCATTCAATCCCTAATACCACAAAAACAGAGAAAGACTCCAGGAAAGCTTTTCATCTAGTCTGCAAGTTATTACTTTACCCAATACTTTAAAAGGGATTAGGACATAGATGCAGAACAAAACCTTTTGGAAACAATATTTAGACTATCTTAAAATAATTTATAGGGCTGGGGAGGTTGCTCAGTAGAATAAGCGCTTGCCTGGCAACTACAAGGGCCTCAGTTCAATCCCTGGTTTTGAAAAAAAAAATAAATAAAATTAAATATAGAAGTAGAAATAACATTCAATAAATGAATCACTGCAATATAAATGAAATCTGTTCAACTGTCAACCTCGCCCCCTTTGTGGGACTAAGAATTGAAACTAGAGTTTTTGCACTGAGCTACATTCCCAGCCCTTTTTAAATTTTATACCTTGAGAAAAGGTCTTGCTAAATTGCAAAGTGCCCAAGCTGGGCTTGAACTTACGACCCTCCTGCCCCAGCCTCTCAGAGTGATGGAATTATAGGCATGTGCAACCATGCTCAACTTCAACTCCACTTTCTCTAAGTCTGAGAACATTTTATTCTTCTAGTAACTTCAAAGCTTAAGGTCAGCAAAGCTTCAGAGAGGTCTGCACTTTCTTCTCAGGGAAAACTAAAGGATGCCCAGATATCCGACCAACCCCAGGCCCTGCAAGTGTGGGGGAGAGCTTCTGCTCTGTCCTGTGCCCACCGGCTGCTCCAAGCCCAGGCACGCCACCTAAGAGGCCTTTGCCCGTGTTATCCAGACGGCCCCGCCTAGCCAGACCCAGCACAGCCCACCATCCAAGTAAGAACTTCTGCCACGCTCTTGGGAGTCCTGCAGACCCACCAAAACACAACACTGGTGAGTGTGTGGGAGAGCTTCTGTGCTCTCTCGCCCCCGCTCCTCATACCCCTCCAGATCCAGAACAGACCTAGCATACAGGCTTGAGGTAAAACCCTGCAGCTAAAGTCCCCGCAGTGAGAGACTAGGTTCAAAACCACACAGCTAATCCAGGAACAGAACATCTTACCAGAGGGGTACAGCAGGCCCACCTCCAAGGGCAACGACAGTAAGGAGCTGGGCACAGTAGCCTAACCCAAGCCAGGCACAACTGCATGAACAGAACTTGGTATATCAGTACCTGAATTGCATTAAGTGATAACATAATTGCACCAAAGCTCTACACCAAAGGCCAGAGGTCAGTGTTAAACGAAAGTAAAATGCAATCTCAGGCCTCAAACCCACCCATAACAAGTGCAGAGGACACTAGCTCAGCTGAAATAAATGAACAAATAGCATAAGAAGTAAATAAACAACAGCAGAAAGATATAGAGGAAATCAGAGCAGAATTAATTTCTGGAATTAAAAAAAAAGAAAACTCTGAATTTATAACAGCTGAACTTAAGAATCAAATGCAGAAACATGGAGGAAACACAATGCCCAACCAGAACAAAGGCAGTGGACACTAGCTTAGCCGAAATACATGAATTAATAGTGTTGGAAGTAAATAAGCAACTGCAGAAAGGTTTAAAGGAACTTAGAAACAGAATTAGTGTCTGAAATGAAAAAAGAAATCTCTAAACTCATAGTACCTGAACTAAAGAATCAAATACAGAAACAAAGAGGAAACCCAATCTGTAAAAACAAAACTCTTCAGTAAAAGAATAACTGCTTGTAACGAAGACATTGATTAAAAAAAAAAAAAATACAGGAGATTAAAAAACTGATGGATTCCTTGAATGAGCAATACAGGAAAGAAATAGATCGCATGAAGCAGAGTCAAAGAGATGTAGAGGACCTTAAAATCTCAATTACAAGCCTGAAAAACTCTTTGAGCGAAAGTGAAGATAGAGTTTCAGATCCTGAAGATGCTGGTGCAGATAGTGAAAGGGTAAGAAAAGATCTCTTAAAAACAACTAGGATGCAGGAAAAAATAATTCATCACCTGCAAGACGATGCAAAGATGAACAATGTGAGACTAATAGGCATCAATGAGAATGAAGGAGTCAATACA